TATGTGGGGCGAAGCAATCTTGACAAGCAATTACCTTTTAAATAAGGTTCCCCGGAAAAAATATGATAATACTCCGTACGAGTTGTGGAAAGGCAGACGGCCTTCCTATCAATATTTAAAAGTGTGGGGGTGTCTTGCTAAGGTGCTTGTACCAACACCTAAGAAAATAAAAATAGGTCCAAAAACGGTGGATTGTATTTTTATTGGATATGCACAAAATAGTAGTGCCTATCGGTTTTTAGTGTACGATTCGAATAATCCGGATGTACATAAAAACACTATAATTGAATCAAGGAATGCTTCATTCTTTGAAGACGTATTTCCATGCAAGTCCAACGAAGGACCAAGCACGTCAAAACGAACATTTGACGTAGCTATGGAAAATACTAGCGAGGGATCCGGAGAAGAACCCGAACCCAAACGTAGCAAACGTGCTAGAATTGAAAAATCCTTCGGGCCGGATTTTCTCACCTACCTGGTAGAAGTTGAATCGGATATTCTAACATGTATGGTAGAAAATGAGCCACGGACTTATACGGAAGCCGTGACGTCTACTGAAGGTCCTATGTGGAAAGAAGCCATCAAAAGTGAGGTGGATTCTATCCTTAAAAATCACACATGGGAATTGGTTGATCTTCCTCCGGGAAATAAACCTTTGGGATCCAAGTGGATTTTTAAACGGAAAATGACACTTGACGGTTCCATCGATAAGTACAAGGCCAGACTTGTAATCAAAGGATACAAGCAACGTGAGGGCCATGATTACTTTGACACGTATTCTCCTGTGACGAGAATAAATTCCATTAGGATGATACTAGCAATTGCCGCATTGCGGAAATTGGAAGTTCATCAAATGGACGTAAAAACCGCTTTTCTAAATGGTGATATAGACGAAGAAATCTATATGGAACAGCCCGAGGGCTTTCGTGTTCCAGGACAAGAAAGGAAAGTGTGTAAATTAATTAAATCATTGTATGGATTGAAACAAGCCCCTAAACAGTGGCACGAAAAGTTCGATCATGCAATGTTAATTAATGGGTTTAAAATAAACGAAAGTGACAAATGCGTCTATGTGAAGAGCACGGTAGACGGCTATGTCATTTTATGTTTATACGTGGATGATATACTCATCGTGGATAGCAATAATCTAATGATTAATTCTACCAAAAGCATGTTAAATTCTAAATTTGACATGAAGGATATGGGGCTGGCCGATTTAATTCTTGGGATTAAAATAATTAGAGGACCTGACGGTCTAACGCTAAGCCAATCCCATTACGTTGATAAAATCCTTACTAAATTTAATAAGGATGATTATCAAGAGGCAAGGACGCCATTAGATAAAAACACTCATCTTACCAAAAATTGTGGAGAGTGTATTTCTCAAGTAGAATACGCTAGGATTATTGAAAGTTTGATGTATCTAATGAGTTGTACCAGGCCTGATATTGCCTTTGTGGTTAGTAAGCTAAGTAGATATACTAGCAACCCCGGTGATGAACACTGGAAGGCAATAATACGGGTTTTGAGGTATTTACGTAAAACCCAAAACCTTGGACTGCACTATGGAAGATATCCGGCTGTACTTGAAGGGTATAGCGACGCTAGTTGGATATCCGACATAAAGGACTCTAAGTCCACAAGTGGATATGTTTTCACTTTGGGAGGTGCAGCCGTGTCGTGGAAATCCTCGAAACAAACGTTAATAGCTAGATCCACGATGGAATCTGAGCTAATAGCCTTGGATAAAAGGTTCAAAGGATAAAACCTACCTCTCCGTATGCAAGGATCATCCGGTGAACACAACGTGTCCTCCTATCTTCGTGTCTTTTTAAGTCTCGAAAATCAATTTTCATTCATGTGGGGGATTGTTGGAAAAAGTGTTAAAAATTGCATTAAATGGTCATTTTGGGGCAATTATTTGAGTGGGGTCCACTTCCGATTTGGGTCGGGTCAAAGTGGTTTCGGATTGTCCTTGTTAAGGGCTACAATTCGATATGTGGTACACTCAAAACGAATAACGGGTGAATGAGAAATTGATTCTCGAAGTTCACTCGTTGAAATGGAAAAACTGGGAAAAATGATGAGTTTCTAGTGTGTTTTATCCCACACCGAAAAACTCAAGGGATTTTCACCCCCTTATAAAGGGAAGCCTCTTTCAAGGAGTTAAGATTCCTAAAGGGAAAGGCTCTCTCTTACGCGCAGGGGGGGTGCCAATCAAATCCTGAAACGGAGAAGGAAAACCGCTACTCGTGTGCGCGGGCGACCTACGGACACGAATGCCGTCTGTTGGCATCGGACAGAAATCCTCCAAAGGGGTTCTGTTGGCTTCGGACAGAAACCCTCCAAGGGGGTTCTGTTGGCTTCGGACAGAAACCCTCCAAGGGGTGTTCTGTTGGGGTCTTCTGTCGCGCACTTCTTCCGTTACAACAATTAATGCCCAACGTTCTTCTCTTTTAATGCTGCGTTAAATGAACAGTTTATGGACGATTCAATGCCCAACGGACTGGTCATTGATGTCCAACGTTCAGGTCCATAGGAATCCAAATTGCTTAGTTTAATTCATATAGATTTAGGTGATTTAAAAACACGATAACTAGAAAAGTGGTAAAAAATATAATGTCACCTTCAAAGATGATTTTTCTAGATACACTAAAATTTATTTGCTGAAATGTAAATAAGAGACTTTGACAAATTTTTGGTGTATAAATCCAAGATAGAAAATCAATTAAATAAAAAGATTAAGAGAAGCTTGTGGCTTGGAGCTAATAATCATATCTTACCTTATATTTTGAAACGTTGACTTATAGAGCTAAATAAGAGTTAAATAAATTCATTGCTTAAATCCATACATGATAAAAATCCATATTCATAATTTTGAAATGTTTTTAAGATTTCGTTTCTTAATTAGATGGTAATCGAGAAAATCAGTTTTTGAGATTACTTTGTGCTTGTGTACTACTCCTGGGAGCCGGAAATTAACACTCACATTACTGCACCCTGTTTCTAAAAAAAGGTTCCATTTGTTGTTTCATTTAATTAATTTATAAAGGTTTGAACAATTAAATAGTGATATTTTTCGATAATTGAGGGACTAAATATATTGTCTAAACAAAGTCAAGTATCCTTGATTTATTAATTCCATGTTTTGAAAAATTGTACGGAGTAATACATAAAAAACAAGGTATCATTGGTTCACTAATTCAAAAATAATTGTAAAAAATACAAATGAATGTCATGTCCAACATGGTAGAATATGGGGATATTAATTCTCAAAGAACAATATATTTGTTCATGAGAAAATATATCCTTGTATTCTACCATGTTAAACATCATTATTCATTTGGTCAACAATTATCAATCTTCATTGCTCCATTGAATGTGAGGATACAATATAATAGGTACTATGTGCACATATTTTTACGGTGTGGGCCGGGGAAAGGAAATGTATACTGTCAAATGTACGTGTATACTATTGAATCAATTTGAGTTTCTCATTCCCCAGGTTGCTCCCGCGCAAAATCTCTTCCTTCCTCTACATTCAAATAAATCGCACCAGGTTTAGTCCAGTCCGACGGTTACAGGAACAGGGGCACAATGACCGGATAAAATCATTTTTCTATGGTACCTTCTTGAATAAACAGGTACCGGTACTCAAAGTTTTTTAGCCAATCAAATACTAGTATGAAGCCACGCAACCCTCCTATATTAGTATACTAAGTTTGATTATTGCATTGTAGTCCCTAATCAACAAGCTAAGCAGTTAGCAGGTCAAGTGACGGTTAGGCTGTGAAGCCCTTCTGAAAACTACCCATCGAGTCTCTGCACTCCATCCACATAATTTCGTTATGCATCCTGCATACTGTTATTTATGTAGTTTCTATTCATTTATTTTTGTACCCTTTGGTTTATTCATCTATTCATAAATCATAAGCGTGTTTTTAGTTTATCTGTTTTATCAATCAATTTTTTTTAATTAAATATATAGTTTCTATTCATTTATTTTAGTACCATTTGGTTTATTCTGTCATACCTTACTTTTTATTATTATTACACAATTAATCATGCGAAAGCAAAAATTACATTACAAATAACTAAAAATGATCCAGTTAAGTTAGAGTTACTTTCGTGACTAAATTGACTAGAGTAACTGTGGAGGATCATTTTAGTTATCTTGATGTACATTTTTTCTTTATTTTATTAATAAAATATGTACTCCCTCAATTTCAGTGTTACCCAACACGCACAGACACATGCACTTAGTCTTTCTTGATCTATCCAACACTCTGATCCAATGGCGGGTCTAGAAAACAAGTTCACGACTCGTTTGACGACTTGTGTTTTTGGCTTGTTAGACTTATCAACCAATTTTTTCACCAAATATAAAAAAATTTAATTTTGCGCACTGAATTTTATAATTATCAAAATCAAAATAAGTAAGGTTGTTAGTACTTTTCTAGCATAATTGATGAAGTTATTATAGGAGATGATTCTAACTATTTAATATAATTTCTTCCTTATTCTATTAATAAAATATATTTGAAATATAATTTTTACATAATTCAACAGATTTCAATCAGAACTTCATCAATTTCAACGAATTTATCCATTTCAACCAATTTTAGTGTTTACCAAACAGGATCTTGTTTAGTCTTGTGAAAAAGGGGTTGAGTTCCATGCTTGATCGAAAGTTAATAATTTCTATTAGATTTTTTCCCAAATATATTATCGAAATAAAACTTATTTACAAGAATATCATTAAGTGTCACGAATACTTAAATGTAAAAACTGAACATAAGTTACTATAACTAAGTTACTACTATAGTCACAACATATATTTTAAAATGTCACATTTATTTATATCATGTTTATTTTAGTCATAAATTATTTTGTTGAAGATGAAGCATAAAAACTTAACTGAAATAACATTACGGTCCATATTGGTTGTCCGGTTTGAAACTGAACCATTCCGGCCAATCCAATCTTTAGTCCAATCACTTCGGTAATTTTGGTTCCAATCCAAATCGGTTCCTTTTCGACCTGTCCTGTCTTGGATAGTATGTTCGTACTAGTTACGTAACGCGCGTTGCGCGATCGGGAAAATGCCCAATAACAACTACAATCATAAAACTCAAAGCTACAATGAGATGAGACATATAAACAGACGATTCAAATTGAAAAAGCTGAATCGCTAATCCCGCAAAGAAATAGACTCTACATTCAGGTCGACAGCTCCTGCTACGAACATAATATATAATTCTCAAACAAACTACTTCGTATTAAACATCCCGATTTGTCCAGCCACCGGTAAGGAGTCAAGTGTAGAATTTATTTCGCTTCTGCCAGCCACCGGAAAGAAACCAGTCCATGTGATCTCAACTTCTTGGAACAACGGTGGTTCAGGAGGGGGTGATTCGTCACAATATCATCGCAGATGAAAATCATATTCTCGATTGATGAAGATATCAATGCAAACCTCTTATTAGCACATATGAACGCCCGATCGAAGATGATGGTGAATATAAATTTGGCAGACGACACTGCGCCATCGAAAATAATATCTCTAAACAACGTTATAAAAGAAACATATAGATAAAATTGAAAACACTAATCAAGTATACATTTTTCATTGTTATCTATAATGCTAATATATGAATTTCTTTCTTAATTATAAATTTGTGCATAGAAGTAATGCTAGCTATTTTCAAAAAAAGAAGAAGTAATGCTAGCCGCTTGAACACTAATAATTAATGAAAGGAATTTCATATATTACGATGGTTGCAATGTAATCAGTTCCTGAGAACTGAGAAGTAATGTTTGAAAATGATTGAAAGCACACAAATTAGTTAAATCATGAATTGTACAAAATGATGATAAAATCTAAAGGTATACACTTTGTGTACACACTCTTACACACTCGTGTCTATGTAGATGTTTTTTTTGTGTGTCCCAGACAAAACATGTTTGACAAATACGTTTTGTCTGGGACAGACAAAAAAAAACGTCTACACAGAGACGAGTGTGTAAGAGTGTGTACACAAGTGTGTACCCCAAGTCCGGTTCCAAAATGATGGGTCATGAGGGTGGGTAATCATCACTAACTACTGATCCACCAGTAATTCAGAAAGTTGTAATCATACTTCCATTTAAAAGGTCCAGATGTCGTCCATGGTTAGAGTGGGATCCATGAAGCAGGGGCGTAGGCACGAGGGCCTAAGTCAGCTATGGGCCCACTCAAATTTACTGAAAAAATGTTAGTGATTGTCTCATCTTTCCTCTTCGATCCATTTTATTAAGATTGTATCATACTCCGTATCAAATTTGGTAAAGTTTTATGATTCTAAATCATTATCATTTATTCTTACTTTATCAATTCAACATCAATCACATAAACTAATTTTCTTAATAACCGTACCGCATCATCATGTCTCACTGTTAGTGACACGGAGGTGGTAATAATATTCAGATTAGATAAAAACATTTAAATCAGACCAAATATTTTAAAAAATTATTGTTGTTGTTTTTTTAAATATTATTATTAGTACCATCAGTGATATTACTATTATAGTAGGTGTAGTTAAATTGGTGCAGTTAAATGTTAATTTTAGCAGTGAATTAATAACAAAACTGAGGGAAAGTTATATATGCCTTAGTTTTGCCGTTTTATTAATTAAATCCTAAATTTTCAAGCTTGCATTCTAACAGACTTGCTCAGTAACAATATAAGACTATTTACTGGGCTGTGAGAAAAAGTTTGTCGCCACATAATTCTAATTGACTAACATACCAAACATATGAAACCCTACATTATTTCAAATAGCATGTCTGGTTTCACATTTTTTACCGTAAGAGAATTGTTGTAAACATCCGTTCCAAATTGATTTGCAAAGTCAACAATTTTTGGTCAATCATTGTTAAAGTTAAATCCTCTCGATTGCTAATTAGCTGAATTTTTAATAATTAAAATTTACATATTCAGAAACTACATTAAAATATCGTCAAAGTTGCTAACTCCAAATTAGAATATAATTAAAAATTAGCATCCTAATTAAGTGAATGAAATGAAACTGTTCGATAAAAAAAGTCAATTTTGAAAATTAATTTGGGACATATGTAGTATATAATTTGGTGGAATTTTATAAAATGAATGTAGATAAAAATACAGTTAAATACTCCGGATAAACAAGCCAAGGACTTCGAAGGTCAAGACTTCTATTCTACAAGCTGATAGATCATATTATAAGCTGATTTCCGCCGATGGTCGAAATTCCATAATTCCGAGGATCTATAACCAGCGTTGATTGGGGGAAGGGTGAATAACAAGAAAAAGGGAAAAAAAGGGTAATAATAAGAAATTAAAGCAAACAATTCAATTGGGTAAAATTAGCTCTGTTCGAACCCAATTGAAGTTGAATTGTTAGCAACAAAGGAGAAATGAAAAGTTAACGGGAGTTTAAAGAGGTGAAGACTAACAGAAGAAAATTAGAAAGTTAGAATATAATTTAAGGGGTACAATGCTTTAAAATGAATGTACAATTGAATCTAGCTATACTGTACCACCAACACATTTCATATATCCAAACAACCTTTACTCTCATTCACTCTTATAAGATTGTAGAGATATTTTGTATCGTTATATGATAGTTGTTGTCAAAAGAAAATAGGGTGTAGAGAAAATTCAATACTCCATAAATGAGAAGGAAATTAAACGAACGAAAATACGAAATGGGTGGACAAATATTTGGTCGGTAGTTTTCATTACTTGTTAACTGCTTTAATAGGGACTAAATTATAAATAATGGAACTTAGTATACTACTCCATCCGTCCCCCTGTTATTGTCCCATTACGATTTACGATGTTTGACCGACGATAAAGCAAACAGATCCCTGTCCGCACTCAAATTATTTTTAGAAAAAGAAAATTACATATTCAGAAACTACATTAAAAGATATACAAAGTCGCAAAACCAGAATCAAATTTGATAAAAATTTGATACATAAAGTAAGAGATTAAGAGTGATCTGTGTTGACCAAGTGAATAGGAAATGGGACAATAACAGGGGGACGGAGGGAGTACTACTTATTACGTATATGACTAAGGATGTTTTTACTTGGACTGTAATTCGTCCCAGACTAGATCAGACCAGATCAGACCAGACCAGATCAGTTCAGACCAGACCAGTTCAGACCAGACCAGACTTGGATAGTTATAAAAATACAAAGAAACCAGACCAGACCAGTTCAGACCAAACCAGATCAGACCAGACCAACAAATTACAGTCCAAGTAAAAACATCCTAAGAAGGCTAGGTACATGGCTTCATATATAGTATTATGTGATTGGATAAAAGAAATTGGGTACCGGTACCTTGTTTGTTTAGGAAGGTACCGTAGAAGAACCCTAAAATCATTTCCATCAAGTGAAATGATTACATTTTTTTGTATTTGTTTTTTACGATGCATTACCGGTGTTGTCACAAGTAATGTACCATAAATCTCTTAGAGAATATATACTTTATAATTTTGTGTGGGAAAATACTCTTTCGCTTTTATACTCCCTCCGTCCCATAAAATTTTGACAATTTTCATTTTTTGGATGTCCCACTAACTTTGCCACTTTTGCTTTTAAGTAAAGAATTTGTGGTTCCAGTTAATTCTCTCTTCTCTATACAAACTTCAACCACACAGTTTTTACTTTATTAATCCTCGTGCCAGTCAAATTTGGCAAAGTTTTAAGGGACGGAGGGAGTGTTTTTTAGCGGGAACTACTTTAACAAGATTTCTTTTGCTTTTAAATATTAACAAGATTTTTAGAGGGAGTGTTCCATCATCTACCTTACCTCAGCTGAAAATAAGAGGAAACAAAATATCTTCTTGTCCAGGTTGTTTGTTGCCTTTTTTTCAATTCTAGAAACAATTCTTCTGGGTTCATAAATTTAGTTATAATCAGTTCTTCTGTGCCTCCAACGACTAGTGTCTCTGTGATGCTCTAATAACAGGTTATTTGTGATGTTCAGCATAATGTGAAATTTGACAACTAAAGAAAATGAACCGTAGAATTTTAACAAATGAACAGGGTAAATTGATAAACAACTGATCTGAACAACACAAACAAAGCATCGATATAAAACAATTTTTAGACTAGTCGATACACTTTGTAGTGGATAATATATCAGATCAAGAACACATATACTAGATCTGTCCCGGTTGACTTTGCCAAGTGCAAAGTAGATGAGAAATAAGAATAGTAAAAACTGTGTGATTGAGATTTGTGCAGAGGAGGTTCTGTCCGGCCGTCGCCAATTGGGGCGGTTCCCGATGGAATTTTTTGCTGAAATATTTGAGCATCTTCTGCATTAAGTCTAGTTTACCCATATAAAATTGTAGCTAAAAATTAAATCGGGAAGATAGTCAAATGATTTTTCGAAATGTACTGCGCTGTTTAACTGCACAGTTATCTTCAAAAAATCATTTGACTGCCTTCCCGGTTGAATTTTTAGCTGAAATTTGGTATGAGTAAACTAGACTTAATGAACAAGATTCTCAAAAAAAATAATCAAAAAATTCCACCTGGAACCGCCCCAATTGGCGACGACCTAGCAGAACCTCCTATATAAGGGGCTAATTGAACACTTTAAGTTAGTTCAAGTACCTATTTGACCTTTTAGCCTTCATTCATGTTCATTCAGTAGTCAAATACAAGATCTAAAAGTTAAAGGATATAAAGTCGTCATCTCACCTACAAAATGACGTGAAAAGCAACCTCTCGGCCCAAGAGTTATTACATAAATTCGATGGATCCGCCCAAATCTATTGAAGAAGTTAATAGGAAGCCCAACTTGAATGGAGTGCAAAGCTAAATGGATAAGCATGACCCAGTAGGAAGAAATGAAAGAAGGAGATAACATCGAACAGCTGTTTCCGAATACGTTGGCATATGAGCCGAATTTGTCGGACAGTTGGGCGATGAGCTGAAGAAGTAATCCCACGAATAAATAGACTAGTCGATACACTTTGCAGTGGATAATCTATCAGATCAGAACACATATACTACATCTGTCCCGGTTGACTTTGTCAAGTGCAAAGTAGATGAGAAATAAGAATAGTAAAAACTGTGTGATTGAGATTTGTGCAGAGGAGAGAGAAATGCGCAGAACCACAAATTAGGTGATTTAATATGAAAGTGACAAAGTTTTTTGGGACAATAAAAAAGGGAAAGTTAGCAAAGTTCAATGTGACGGAGGGAGTACTACTTTGTTTTCAAGCTCTTTTGTTCATTACTATACAGAGTATTCTTTACAATTCAGATTATTGAGATTAATTCTTACTAGACGAAGTACCCGTGCGATGCACAGGTATATTTAGAGTAGAAAAATAACTTATCTATAATTATGTTTTATCGTGGTGGTACATACGTAATGTGTACTTTAGTTAAATAAAAAAAAGTTGTTACGTTAGCCTTCTGTCATATTGTCTCAATTATTTTTTTTAAATATTCTCTAGTGTCACTCTTAACAACTAAGAAGTATTCACACTTAATATTATCTAGCTTCACACTTAACAAAGAAGTATCCATCAATCATAATAATAGTAATCTAATTTATAACCTAATTAAATCGCATGCTTTAACCTTCAATCGCATGCTTTGCCATTTATGCCCTTCAAATGGGCGGGAATTGTTGGAAAAATGTGTTAAAAATTGCATTAAATGGTCATTTTGGGACAGTTATTTGAGTGGGTCCACTTCCGATTTGGGTCGGGTCAAAGTGGTTTCGGATTGTCCTTGTTAAGGGCTACAATTCGATATATGGTACGCTCAAAACGGATAATGGGTGAATGAGAAATTGATTCTCGAAGTTCACTCGTTGAAATGGAAAAACTGGGAAAATGATGGGTTTCTAGTGTGTTTTGTACCACACAGGAAAACTCAAGGGATTTTCAACAAACACACGGTTTTACACATTCACAAGCAACCACACGTTTTAGCTCTGAAAAACACCTACAGCTCTCCGAAAAATTCCTAAGTGTTTTTCCTTTGTTCCCGTTTGCTGGAACTCTCGTTTGTGTGCTCAAACGTTAGTTCGTTAGCCACCGTATCCTGGGAAACGGTCATTGCAACGCTCCTAGCACCGTGGGAGGCGACGAATACGTTTTAAGGACATCGTGCGTAGCACGAGCTCTGGCTAAACTCTGTTGCTATTTTATTTATTAATTAATATTTCTTCATTTTTCCATGCAAATCCAACAAAGGACCAAGCACGTCAAAACGAACATTTGACGTAGCTTTGGAAAATACTAGCGAGGGGTCCGGAGAAGAACCCGAACCCAGACGTAGCAAGCGTGCTAGAGTTGAAAAATCCTTCGGACTGGATTTTCTCACCTACTTGGTAAAATTTGACTCGGACATTCTATCATGTATGGTAGAAAATGAATCGGACTTTCAAACATGTTTGGTAGAAAATGAACCACAGACTTATACGGAAGTCGTGACGTCTACCGAAGGTCCTATGTGGAAAGAAGCCATCAAAAGCGAGGTGGACTCTATCCTTAAAAATCACATATGGGAATTGGTTGATCTTCCTCCGGGAAATAAACCTTTGGGATCCAAGTGGATTTTTAAACGAAAAATGAAACCTGACGGTTCCATCGATAAGAACAAGGCCAGACTTGTAATCAAGTGATACAAGCAACGTGAGGGCCATGATTACTTTGACACGTATTCTCCTATGACGAGAATAAATTCCATTAGGATGATACTATCAATTGTCGCATTGCATAAATTGGAAGTTCATCAAATGGACGTAAAACCCGCTTTTCTAAATAGCGATATAGACGAAGAAATCTATATGGAACAGCCCGAAGGCTTTCGTGTTGCTGGCCAAGAAAGGAAAGTGTGTAAATTAATTAAATCATTGTATGGATTGAAACAAGCCCCTAAACAGTGGCACGAAAAGTTCGATCATGCAATGTTAACTAATGGGTTTAAAATAAACGAAAGTGACAAATGCATCTATGTGAAGAGCACGGTAGACGGCTATGTCATTTTATGTTTATACGTGGATGATATACTCATCGTGGGTAGCAATAATCTAATGATTAATTCTACCAAAAGCATGTTAAATTCTAAATTTGACATTAAGGATATGGGGCTGGCCGATTTAATCCTTGGGATTAAAATAATTAGGGGACCAGATGGTCTTACGCTAAGCCAATCCCATTACGTTGATAAAATCCTTATGAAATTTAATAAGGATGATTATCAAGAGGCAAGGACTCCATTAGATAAAAACGTACACCTTACCAAAAATCGTGGAGTGTATTTCTCAAGTAGAATACGCTAGTAGTATTGGAAGCTTGATGTATCTAATGAGTTGTATCATGCCTCATATTGCCTTTGTGGTTAGCAATAGTACGGGTTTTCAGGTATTTACGTAAAACCCAAAACCTTGGACTGCACTATGGAAGATATCCAGCTGTACTTGAAGGGTATAGCGACGCTAGTTGGATATCCGACATTAAGCACTCAAAGTCCACAAATGGATATGTTTTCACTTTGGGAGGTGCAGCCGTGTCATGGAAATCCTCAAAACAAACGTTAATAGCTAGATCTACGATGGAGTCTGAGCTAATAGCCTTGAATAAGTGCACTGAAGAGGCTGAAAGGCTACGCCATTTTCTCGAGGATATTCCAAGTTGGGAAAAGCATGTCCCTCCAATATGCATACATTGCGATTGTCAAGCTGCAATTGGAAGGGTACATAGCAATATGTACAATGGTAAGTCTAGACACGTTCGTCGTAGACATAACACCATTAAACAACTCCTCACAACGGGTGTGATGGAATATATGGACTCCGACCCCCCGGTCTGCCGACTACTGGGCCTGGACAGCGGTCCACACACATTTAGCGGATATCATTCATATTATTGTACATTATTATTATTCAGATGTTCTAGATTAGTTTTTTGTACTATCAGTCCATTTATGTAACTGGGTCTGTCAGGCCCATATTAGAGGCCCAGACCCGGATTTTCCCTATATATACTCCTTTAGGAGGCTACACAACTGATACAATCAATATTCATTCTATACACTATTCATCTTCTTCTTCATCATTTCTTCTCCACTCTTGTTAAAACTCTCACTAGTTATAGGATATGGGTATCAATTATCCAACAATGGTGCTCTCGTTGAGAGGTTTGAACACAATCAAGTGAGAAAAACCTCCCCAAACAACCAAAATTTCATTCCATTCACACAAAAATTAGCCAAAACTGTTCTTGAAAATTATAAAAAACAGAAATTTGGAATTATCCAGATCTGGAGGTTGGAGCAATCCCGGCCAGATCTAAATGTTGAACCAGAGGAGCACGTGGTTGAAGGGGTTAGATGCGACTCAGAATCCGGCCACAAGCTGCTCGCTCATCATCCTCCTGCGTGGCACCGCCTCCTGCCGCCCTTACTCGTTCACCAGCCACATGTCTCTCTAGCTTCACGAACCATTTTCGCCATTAATGGCCGCTGGGAAGCTCCGTTTTTGGGCTAGAAGCCAACTTGAAGAAAGTGCGGCCACGAGTAGCCCCCGACTGTCAAAGTCCGGGCAGAGTTTCCAACTAATTTCAGACCCAACGACCAAGTCGGACCGCTGTTAATGGCCGCTAAATGTTCAGCCCTTCCCCCCTTCGGGAGGACAACCTGCGTCCTGACCGGAAGTCTGAGATGCCACTGCTTCTTGGCCAACCGCGTTTCCCTACCGTCTTGCTGCTCCAGCGCACGACGCTGGTTCATCGCCTGCTCCACCGCCGGCATCTAGTAGCTGCTGCAAACCTCCACGAACGGGATGAGCAGTGGATTGTTCTTGATATGAGACAGTGGCTGCAAATCATCCAGCCAGGCTGATGGGAATCCGTTGCAGCCCCCTCTGTGATTCATCAGATGCCTCATTCATCGAGGATGGCCAAATTGATTGGGGTGTGGGTTCCATTTGACCCAGTCAATTATTAACACGGTAGCAGACAGACGAGGGAAGTAAAAAATGAACATGGGCAGCACTAAATCGCCATTAATGTGGTGTCGGTTTTTCACGAATTAAAATGGGTCCAAGGAGTTCTACTGGATACTATTCATTCCAGACAGCCCACAATTTCAGGCCGCTTAAAAAAGATAAGTACTATTTAATTTTAATATTATTTATATTTATTTTAATCAATATTTTTTTTCAGTTAAATGTCACACTATCACGTAATTATTATGATCAAATGCCTAGTAGACTGTGTCTTGAGACCCATCACTAGGATTTAAAGCCCTGACCCAGAGCAGGCACAAAGCCTTGACCAAGTCAGGCACAAAGCCCCGACCAAGTCGGGCACGAAGACCGGTCTTAGTCATTCCAAGAGTGGCGACCGTTGCGTACGAATGGCTCGCATGTCCACTCTACTAAGTATTTTATCATTACATCAACAATTCACATTTCCACTTTTTGAAGTGACGAACTCCCGATCGGAAACATAAACCTCAAGAAAAAATTTATATGCATGTTAAATGTGTAGGTACGAAGATGACTTTACTCATTCTTCACCTCGTCTCTACTCGCCTCAAGGAGTGGGGAACTGGGGGACTGAGAGGTCAGATTTTCTGGATGAGCAGCAAATATCACGCATGAGCAGGAATGAGAGCTAAGTCAGATGAAGACAGGTTGAACTAGACAAAAGTGATTATACCGGAAGGGGCCTACCTTCCTTGTTTCATGTTGGGGGCGCTAGGTGTACTCTTTTTCCCTTTATTAGGATTTTTTCCCACTGGGTTTTTTCCTAGTAAAGGTTTTTAACGAGGCACCTCCCCATCATGGACAAGGGTGGTGGTCCCCCGACCGAAAAGGAAGAAATCAAAGACAAAAGAACGTTGCAGATACAGTTTGGATTACTCCCTTTCGCCTCGAGTACTCTCGACTCAGGGAGTGGGGGACTCCTGATGGAATATATGGACTCCGACCCCCCGGTCTGCCGACTACTGGGCCTGGACAGCGGTCCACACACGTTTAGC